ACTAACAAAGGTGAGCTGGGTGCCTAGCAAACTTACAAAAGGGGGAAAATAAAACCTAATACAGTAGATAAGAAGGGTAAGTAACTTCTTCCTAAAGGATAACAGCATCAGTTGTGCAAGGTTTTTTGATGGGAGCCAACTGTGAGGCATATTTTTGCTTGCTGGTCCCAGACAATGCTTGTGCCCCCTCATCCCCCTTTGCTGTGCCAGCCCTCAGCAGAGCTGGTAGTGCTGAACCCCAAATGAGGCCAGGGGAATCAGCAGCTGCTTCTTATACAGAAGCACTGTACCACCTTCTGCTTCCCCACCTCCTGTTCTGTACTCCAGCTCCCACCTCGGTTCTGGAAGCTGTGACCTCACATCAGTGACCTGGGCCCATGTAGGCAGCGTGTTCTGCTTTCTGTACACTACTCTAATTCTGGCTTTCTCTATTTTATAGCAGAGTTTCCCTTTTAATAGAAATGCATCTCAACCATGATAAAATATCACGTGGAAAACAAAGTACCACTCAGGCCAGTCTATAGATTGGCTCCACTCCACCTTACCAAGGAAGGAGAGACTCTTCTGTTTCCCACCCTGTCCATCACTGGGGAATTTAGAGAAGCTGACTTTATGATTTTTTTCTTTATCTTTAGCCATATGCTAAATTTTTAGCCATATGCTTTAGCATATGCTTTATGCTTTTGCAATAATTCCCTCCCAAAGATGATCTGAATAGAGTTTATCACCGAGTTATCTGTGAACAGCATCACTTAAAAGAGGTTAAAGCAGCTGCAACCAAGCAGATAAATATTTCCAGGTATTTGATCAGTTTTGTCAAGAGTTACATACAATTTGTAGATGATATTTGCTAGATACTCTTATTCCAGGACCGTTTGAATGCCCCCTATATACCAGAAAGGTGTCCAGAAACAATGTAGGAGCTAAGAATCTGCAAGACAATCCTCTCCTTCAACATTTAGAAGCAGAATAAGGGAATTTCTTTTAATTTTCCTTTTTCCTTTTCTAATTGGCAGTTGTCTGTAGAGATAACACTTTGTTCACACCCCAGCACGTTGATCTAACAGGTTAGAAAACACACAGACCAAGCAAGAGACAAATCATAGAATGGTTTGAGTTGGAAGATAACTAAAAGATCATTTAGTTCCAGCCTCCTGGCATGGGCAGGTACACTGTTCGCTAGACCAGGGAGACCTTTCACTAGATGAGACTAGAGAAGCAGAAACAAAGGAATGAACAGTGTTGGGTAACCCATGGTGCTGGCTGCTGTAAAAAGCCTGGGCTTTTTTTGTTGCCTTGATTTCTGGAGGAAACAGGTAAAGCAGGAGGCAATGCTGGTGTGTAGAGTAGACTTTTCAGTGGTAGGTTGCAGTAGAAGGGAACTGGTTACTGGAACTGGCCCATATGTAGACTGATCACCTGGACAAGAGTTTGCAGAGAACACTGAAGGCACCAACCCTCCAACGAGGCTCTAGTATCTGAAAATCTGTTGTGTTTCTTTACTTGTTTCTGAGGTATTCACTGAACTCATACCAGAGGTAGACTAAACTACCCTCTTCATATTCCCCTTGACAAAAAATGGGTGTTTGTCTTCCAGATCCCTGTCTCCCATTGTCACTTGGATCGGACTACTCTGAAAGTTGTTAAAGCCTGTGCCTTTATACTTTGCTAAGGCCTTACTGTATTTTAATATTCAAATAATGTTTTACCAGAGCTGGCTTTTTTTGCTCTGTAATTGTTTTAGTTTTCTTTTACTCTGTGTCTTATTTATGAATTGTTTCAAAGCAGGTCAATGGAAGTCTTCAAGTAGGTTTTTAAACAAGTTTTGACAATGTTTTTCAGTTGTTCTGAGCTTAAAATAACACAAATCAGCAGATACAGACTGGAGAAGAGTGTCTTCAGCCCTTATGGACTTTTTACTGCATTTGCTCCCTACAGGAAGGCAAATAGAAACAAAAAAATTAAAAAAAAAAAGGCATCAGTTCTATTTTTTTCACCTTACGAGGCTGTAAATGCCAGGGCTTAGCTCTGAGCAGTACCACCACCTTCCTCACTTCAGAAGTGAAAAATTGAGGTGTTGTCTGTGATAAAAAAAAAAACTAGAAGGATGTTTTTCTCCCTGCTACGTGGTTAAGGGTGTAACTGGCAAAGAGGTAGTCACAGCTTGCTGATGCTCCTCTAGTGGGAGACTGAAAAATATGTTCAAGAATAATTTAAAAATGGTCTTTGGAACCTCCAGCCACTGACCCTTCTAATTCCCTGCTTTGTTCTTGGGCTCTTGCATGTTTTTGGGTGTCTGCCATTTCTTAGCCTTTTGTATAGGTGTTCTTCTTTGTTGGAATTTAGTTCTTTGGTCCTAGCAGTATGTTTGTGCCATTTCTGTATTTTGGTTCACTGGACAGTGAAAATAACAGTCCCAGTTCTCTTCAGCTATATTTACCTTTCTTTTATAGGGACTGTAGAGTGACAGTCACAGGAGTACAGATAGGTCAGCATCCTCAGCAATAGTCAGCTCTAAACAAAAATAAAAATGTAAAATTTTGAAGTATTTTGTTCTGTAACACATATGTCACAGGGTAGTCATCAGTACAGATTTAAAAAGTAAGAGATACGTCTTTTCTCCTTTGAACAGCCTCTCAAGAATAGAAGGGGGGGCTTGGAATTCATGGTATGGAGGCTTGGAATACAAGGGATGAGAGCCATTTTTTTGTACTCTCACCTGTGGTCTGGAGAGGTCCCCATTCATCTGCACTCACATGTAAAATTAAATATCACCTATGTTAACATCTGCAGTTGGTACAGGAGTTGGAGGAGGGAGGTAGCTCATGGAGAAGAGGAAGCAGTGAGAAGGATTTTCAGTAACCTGCAAATAACATTCAGGTTTTGGATTCACATTCACAAAACTTTGTTCTGACCTGGCTGAATGTAGGACTGTGAGCCCAAGGAGCCTTCCTACAGAGGAAACTTTCTTTGGTTTGACAAAAGTTTGAGGTTGTCACTAGAAGAACAATTCAGCAAGGTCTGGTAACTGCCAGTCACTGCAGTCCTGAACTGTATCACAGAACTCGTATTTCTTTGTATGTGTTGATAAGCCCAATCATGATTATATTTAAAGGCCAGAAAGCAGAAAGTTCAGAAAGAGCTGCAGCAGTACCCTGAGGTATTTACAACTCTGTCAGTTTTGATTATCAAAAAAGAACCGGGCTGGGTTGAGTACAGGCACAGAAGTTACATTTTCAGGGGGGACAATATCAAATACTCTTTCAGCTATTGGAGACAGGGCATAGAAGCAGTGGGTGGATGCTGACCCACACAAAGTCAGATGAGAAAATGACAACTTTAACAGCAATGGAGTGGGTACAGCATCCCGGTCGCTTGATGACTCCACACCATGTTCAAATATCCTCCCAAAAAGATACTTGGGAAGTGAGATGGGCATATTTGATACCACTTCTGGATTAATACAGCAATTTTTCATCCCTTTTGGAGTAATTCACAACAGGACAATATTTTGAATGGATGGAGCTGGGCAACATTTAACCCTGCTCTCTCTTTTGAAGGGAAGATTTTACAATGACTATAATGCATTAGGCCAGAGAAGCAATTGTAGCACTCCTCTTCAACAATGCAAAGGTTATCTAGAATCATGTCTGAAGAGCTGATATCAGAGAAAACAGTAAGTTGAAAGGAACCCTTCAGGATAGGACCCCTGTGGAAACACAGCTGTGGCTTCTGACATGACCCACATGGCCACATAGTGCAGGCAGGTGGCTGTACACTAAGTTTTGCATTTTAAGGGCAAGACACAGTATCCAAATGACTATTTGGCTTCCTGAAATGAAAAGCAGCAAAGACTTGCCATATTTAGTCAGACAGTTGTCAGTGCTGGTTTCTGTATATGCTCCAATATCCCCAAAATCTGCCATGAAATTTGAGTGTATTGTTCAAGAGCGCTTACAGGTGACCACAGCAAGCATCAGCCTGCAGAGGAAGCTCTGGACAGGGAAATATAAAATTGTAAAATGGAGTTCCACTTCCTTGGCTGCCACTGAAGACTTCTGTTCAAACTGACATTATTAAATGCAGTACTTACTAAGAATTGGAATTTTAAAAAGCGCAAAATGAGATAGCTCTCAAATGGGGAGTAATGCATGTTTATATATTAGGAGCATGAAAACCTCCATGAAATTATGCTGGGAATATAAAAACAAACATTTTTTATGTATAGTCCCTGCACTGCCACAGGACTTCAGCACTGATTTAAAATTGCGTTTCTTAAGGGATGTGTTTTCTTGAGTCTGGCTCACATAAAGTCTAACTACTGGCTCAAATGTCTTAAACCATACATTTTCTGAGGGGAAAATACATCAACTGAAAACCTACATGTTATGGTCATTTAAAATATTCTGTTAAATTACAGTCAGTTGCCGTGTTCACTGATAATGTATATTAAACATGAAAAGCATTGCAAAGTATTGTTTAACTGAATCTCAGTTCTCAGGTACTTGAATGTTGGTTGGCAGAACAGAACACGTGTTCGTGGAGTTTTTTATAGGTGTGGATTTTTTTTTTTTAAATAACTGAAATTATATAACAACAATCCCACACATACACTTTGTTGCAACATGTAACAGGCTGGTTAAAATACTATTAACATGCACTTTGTTTTCTGTATTTCATAGTCAGAGAATATTACACACAATTTCCCATTTACATTCATTTACACTTCATTTTAAGGTTCATCTAGTTAATTTCACTTTAAATTAGCATTAAATATATTTGTAATATAGTCTGTGGCAAAGTGAGAGATTTTTGTAGTAATAGATTTTTTAGTTATCATTCCAGAGTAACTATTAGGAAACCTTCCATTGCAGATCCTCAGTTTCCCACACAGCTCACCAGCCACTCTTCATAAATGCCTCACTGCGGTATTTTGCAGGCAACTATGTAGCTCGCTCCTCTGCATTACCCACAGTTCTATGAATTATATTATTTTGCAGTTCTTCCCATATGGAGATGCTTCAAAGTTTGCCCAGCACGCCTTCCGAACCTTTGATAAAAATGGAGATGGAACCATCGACTTCAGAGAGTTCATTTGTGCCCTGTCCATCACCTCACGGGGCAGTTTTGAGCAAAAGCTGAACTGGGCCTTCAACATGTACGACCTGGATGGTGATGGTAAAATTACAAGAGTGGAAATGCTGGAAATTATAGAGGTGAGATCAGTATGACACTCAAAAATAACGTCAGAATATTAATAAAATTTGATTCCTTGTTCACACAGACTTCAGATGTTACTCACACCAGAGGCTGGTATCATTAAAAACACACATGGCACACATTCATCCTACTCTGACTCATGTCTAAGTGGTACAAGCATTAACTAACATATTAATAGATGTAATCTTGGAGAATTACAGAGGGTACATATGTGCACATAAACTTTTAAATATCCAGAGATTTTTTTTTTCCTGATGAATGGATTAATCACAAGAACAGCCCAGCACAGGATTTACAAAGCCCATCTCAAAGTCACTTGACACCCATGAAATTACTGGATTGTAGCTCAAGTAGCTGAGATTAACTTCAGATGATTACAGAAATTTACAGGGATAACAACATGCTATTTTAAGAGAGCTCTCACAGATGGGCTTTAAGATGACCACAACACATAAGAGGAAGGATAAAGTTTTCCACCTTCATCATCTGCCAGCTACTTGCCACAGTAGTTAATACCAGATTGTGCCCACATGTACACACAGAAACCTATTAGGTGATGACTTCTAAAACTTATTATTCAAAATTTACGTGAAATATTTCAAATAAGCAGTTGACCCAGAGAATAAGTTACAAGAGTTTTGCACTGTGAAACAGGAAGCCAAAGAAATTCATTCCAGGATGCAAAATGTAACCACCAAAATAAACCTGCATCTGAGGAAAGTAAAATATATTCTTTCTTGTTTTAAGTGCCTGGACATTGGATCCTAAGAAAAAAAAGGAAAAAATCTTTCGAGAAACTGGCAATCATTTTATTGTTAGAATAGATTTCCAGAATTTGATCACATCAAAAAATTAGATTGAATTTTATGTTAAATTTTACATTTGGTTTCTTTCCAAAGGCTATCTACAAAATGGTGGGCACTGTGATAATGATGAAGATGAATGAGGATGGTCTGACGCCTGAGCAACGGGTAGACAAGATCTTCAGTAAGATGGATAAGAACAAAGACGATCAGATCACACTGGATGAATTCAAAGAAGCTGCAAAGAGTGATCCGTCCATTGTATTACTCCTGCAGTGTGACATTCAAAAATGAGCTTGTGTACAACGCGTCATAGACTGCACAGAAGTTTAATGTTCCATTCAGTTTGCAGCTATTTCCACACACACAAAAATTTGCTTGGACTACCTATAAATGGACTTGCTTCTTGTGTTTGAAACACTTGTGTGCATGAGAATGTCATTTGCTAAAGAATTTTAAAAGTATATATTATAAAAATAAACTGCCACAACGTGACGTGTGCAATGTCATTTCATAACAACCCTCTTCCTCTGAAGCCTGTGCAGCAGGCCTGTGCTGCAGTGAATTATATTATTTATTGTTCATGTTTTACTGATGCTAGCTCTGTGTCTCCTAGACTGAGTAATGTTAGTGACACTGAATTCCCATGGTAATGTTAACTGTTTATTATAAATCATGTCACCATTCTGCTGTAAAGTAGTACTGGACAGACAGAGGGGCAGAGCTCTTCGGCTCCCGAGTCTGATCCACACGTGCTTGTATTGTCAATGGATATAAATGTACTTCATTTGCATGCCTTTTAGGTTTGCCTTAATTCTTACCTCATTTGCATCCCTTCAATCTGGAAAGAGCTATGTCAGAGGAATGCAGTATATTTAAAAAAAAAAAAAAAAAGAAAATCCTGCTAAAATTATCCCTTTAATTAAGAATATATAAATATATATATATAATGTTTAAAATATTGTTTTATTGCAAGTTTAAAGGTTTTATTGGAAGTGTATTGATCTTTGCCAGAATTTTCAAAAGCTTCCACAGAGGTTGCAATATATATGTCCCAAAATAAATTTATAACATTTGATCTTTTCCCCTAATTCTTATTTCATGTCTTCAGCATGGTAATAAAAAAAAAAAGTTCAATCTCTTTAATTATCTGTCAGTGTACACTGGGAAATATATATTTCATTATGAAAGCATGAAGAAAACTACTTTGCACTCACTCACTAGGAGAGTCATATTATATGAAACCAAATGTTGTAGTTCTTGTATTTACCAACAGAGCTGTTGTTGGTGCTCTAAGATGCTACTGCTAAGATCTAACAGCACACCTACTAGACTTGTGCTGATGTAGCTTTTTAAACTAGCTGCAAGTCAAATACAGTTTATTTGCTTGGCCTAAACCTGTTTTTTAATGTTTTTCCTTCCTGAAGTAAGAGTCTTTCCTCTTACTGTATGACACTAAACTACTCTGGGTTCGATGTAAACAGACATGTTAAAAATCATTACTGATAAATGAGCCATAAAGTATGATGATAAAGGAGGGACAGTGAGGAGAACCGTCCTCTTCCTCACTTGTATGTGCATAAATCAAGTTTCCCTCTATCCTGTGACAAGTACAAGTTCTGCACAGCCCTGGGAAAGAATGGAGAACTATCAGACTGCAGAAACTGCAGATAAAA